ATGGTGGAAATGCAGGGTTACACCTGACTAGTCTTGGACACTGATTTCTTTTTCAATCAGATTAAAGTTTTGAAACAACCACATCACAATTTTAGGATTACTGTTTTAGCTTATTTGCTAGCTGAGGGAGCATGCACACAACTTCATGTCTTCAAAGCAAACTGACATACAAATACCAACTGGTTCATGAAGTAAAGCACTAAGAAAATAACACACTATCTTGCCCATGTACTCAGAAAGAAAACAAGGACACCACCCCCAGAAAAAAAAACACCACCCCAACAATTGCTGCTTCCTTCACCTATGGTGTATCAAGTACTTTAAAGTAGCTGAATTCATCCACAACTTCTCTGAAAGCCAGCACCAAAGTTTAAAACCCTTTTAGGATCCCCAGCTTGCAACATGGAGCAAAGTTTGATGCTTTCAGCATACCATAAAGCTCACCAAGAGCCTGTTAAACCAACAAGCTCAGGCTCCAGCACTCTGTGACCTAGCTGCTTCCCTGGCTAGCAATGACTGGGAGCAAGGTTTGCTTATAAACCTTGCAGCTGCTACCTGAGAAGACAGAGAAGGGAGCTTCTAAGTGTTCCCTAGCTAACAATCCAACCCCGACTGAGCAAGTCAGGCACACACCAGTTATGTAGTTTTTCTAACTTCTCTGTGCTGGAGGAGCTGCAGCCTTTTGTGCTGAAGAATTTCATATTCATGTTCAGCAAGGGTCCCATGCAGACATCAAAGGAAAACATTAAATTCCCTCAGCAAGCCTTAGGCTAACTTCAGAGGATACATCACTGCATAATGTTGAGCAGTTGGATCACAGTAATTCATGAAAAAAAGAGACTGCAGGACGCCCACAAGACTCTCTACATACTTCCATAGTCAGGAACATTTCTGCTAAATTACTCTTCCCATGGCAAAAAAAGTCAGCAACCAAGACACCACCATAGCTGTGCTTGGCCTGTATCTTTCCGCTCTTGTTCCCATCCTTTTCTACTGGCCACTAAGTACATATGAATTCAAACAGAAAAGGCTGACAGAGTTTGAAGAACACAGAGTAGGTAGATCCCAGCACCACATCTGCCACTTTGAGAAAGCGAAAAGATGCTATTTACACTGTTGAACATCTATTACGTTAGCTGTTCCCCCAGGCCCCAGTAGAGGCACATTTCTCAGGAAAAGCCCCTCTGTCTTCTTCCTGGAGAGGTTTTGCTGCCATTGAGTATTGAAAATATGTTCTAAAAACCATGGGATGCTGTGCCTGGGAAGGATAAATGTAAAAACAAGTACCTTTCACTCATTTTTTTGGCAATCGGAACACATTGAAATGTGCTTTTAAACTACAGTTGCCTGGCATTGTATTTTGGTTTTTACAGTAAAGCCAAAGAGGATTAGGACACACTGTACCAATTCATAAGAGCAGACAGTACCTACTCCAGAGCTTCACCTTCCAAGCACACTGGACGAAACGGGAGCATTTCAATTGTACAGGTGGGGAAAGGAAGAACAAAGACATCAAGTCCCACAGGAATGTGTTGCAGGGTAAGGTTGAGATCCCGGTATCTCAGTCCACTTTAGGCTTTGCAAAAAGGAATGAAACAAGAGTGTGTGCTAAATTTGGCACAGATTTTTAAATGATGCATTGCTACAAGGGAACAAGAACCTCAACTTATGCTAACCCAGACACCAAAGGAACATATAAAGGAAAACTAGTTACTCACGCCACCCAATTTATCTGATCACTTTATATTTCCTAAGTCAGTAAGACCTTCCTTGGCCAGACAACCCAACAACATCTTGGTAACTGGCTTCTTGTAACAGCTTTGGATTTTCTTAAAAGCCTCAGCATTGATTATTTGCTTTAAATAGCAATGGCTTATTGAGAAACCTTCTACCCATTTTAATGCAAAAGGTTTTCCTGAAGTAGAAAAGAAAGTAAAAAACTGCCCTGCAAAGGCGTATTTGTCCAAGAGTTTCAGGTACCCGGTCCTAGCAAAATGCTTTGAAGTCAGGGTAAGTTAACACAGGTGCTGAAGGACTAAGAGGGAAAATTTGGAGATGAAAAGTATGGACAGACACAGAGTAATACTGGGACCGAGCTCCAGCTTGCGTTTCAGCCAACAGCATGAGCCAGTGCTGCAACTTGGATGTATCCAAAGGAGCTAGAAGCTCATGGCATGCAAAGCAGCACAGCATTCATGCGGTCTCTGCACAACTTGGGGCAAAAGGAATAGAGGAATTAACTTCATCAAGCCAAATCACCAACACCCTGCTGTTACATAAAAGCCTGTTTTCTGGAGAACGTTTCCAAAGATGGTGTCATTTGGGCTGTTTTGATTAAAGTGACACAGTCATGTTCAAGATGAGATACACTGCAGACTGAAAAACACGGGTTTGACAAAATCTCCCACTCCCTTTCTAGTCCTTATGGTGCTTGTTTCTTCCTTCCGTTTGCCACATTTTTATATGGAAAGCAAGCGTGGCAATTGCACTGCTGAGTTCTCAGATGCTAATGTATAAGGCTGTGATGAAAGAACTGCAGAAGGCCTCAGGGAGATGTTTAAAACCTAACTCAAACAGATAAAAAGATGACTGTTTAAGTTTGCCTGGGAAAGTTTCTACACATATTGGAAACCCCTTGAGGCAGGGACTGCCCTTCTGTTCAGTTTAATAGCCAGCTGTACGAATTATGATTGCACAATTACTTTCATAAGGTTTTCAATTATACAAAGAATGTATCTTATTAAGGTTTACAACTATGAGAAATAAAACCTAAAACCCCAAACCCTTTGCATTCAAGTTGCATGACCCTCTAGTGCTCCACTAGCAAGCACTGTAGCGCACTGTAGCACACTGTAGTTAATACTTTCCATGATTCAGTACAGAGCCTCACATTGTGCTTTCATACCTTCCCTTCCGTGGCCATACTTTAGCAGTCAGCATTTTTGGGTAGTTTGTGCATGCATCAATGGCTAGCTCAAATTCCAAGCTGTCTGCAGCAATGGCATTACCCTGCTGGAAGCTCCTTAGCTGCAAAGCTGGCTACATTGCACAGTGGACCAGAAGGAGTACAGACACGGAACAAGGAGGGGAAGGAAACATCAAAGATGAAACCACTGGGCATGCACAGCCTTGTGTTTTCCATGGCTGGGAACCCAGATATGTCAAAATAAAGCAGAGCACAAACTCTAATGTACCATAAAACCAGTAAGTAAAACAAGCCACCTTCTTTGTCCAGTACAGCATCTTCTGTGTTCCAACACAGAATCCAGCTGGTAACAACCTTCCAAAGGAAAGGCAGGGAAGTGAGTACCTCATTGTACAGATAGCTCAGCTGAGCACAGGAGCCTGAAGTCACACAGCTGATCCAAGAGGTCAAATGTATTTCATATCCAGACCTGGGCACAGACTGCTGTTGACATTTACATTTCAAAACTTCTTTCTGTTGAGGAAATGTACAACCTTCTGCTCTTTAAAAGCCTGAGGCTTTGTGGTCCTCAAGGACAGTCCTGCTCAGAACCACTGCAGTTGTACCAGAACAAGAGGAGCCCCCATGAGTCCCAGAATGACTCAGAGGTGATGGCCCAATAGGAAGCCTGTCTATCCAGAAACTGCAAAACCCAAAATAGTAGCAGACTGCAATCAGCATTATTCGTATCAGAATACTCAAAATCAATTGTCTGGCACAAAAGACATCATCACAGAGGTATGCATCAACCTGGCCCATGCAACAACCAAGAGAAAAAGGAAGGAGAAAGCTTCTAATGGAAGAAGATGGGTCTGAGGACCCAACTCAGAGGTCCAAAGGGACCTCCACAGCTGCTAAGGTTTTGACCCCATAAATACAAATGCCACTGGCGCAAGGTGATATGTGCTGGGATCTTCTTTGCAAACAGGAATACAGGAAGCACTACACACTTTCTAACGGGCAAAGCACCTCTGTCCCTTGTGATCCCAGCCTTTCTCTTAAGGCTGCTCCAAGAAGCTAAACCGGTTTAAGCTGCACACGCACGCAGCTCACAGAGCTATTTCCTCTCATCTCAGCTAATAAATCTTATGGCGTGTGTGTTTTTTCTGAACACAAATTTTATAAGCTGAATAAACTCTATGGAACAGTTGATTGCCAAGGCAGTCAAAACCCAGAAACCTGATGCCTGACCACAGCCTGGCACTGCAGGCTCCAATGGACACTCCAAGAATGTTTAGTTTTCACACTTCAGAAAGAGATCCTCTTACTGGCCTGCTCCCTCTGCATCAAAGGCCCCTGACTTACTGGCTCTGAAAGCTTTTAATGTAGCTTATTCTAGAGACCTTTGCCTATGTGATCAGCAAATCAGATGACAGGACAGAATCCTTCCATCGTCCCCTCCTCAGAGCACATCCTACAATCCATCCCTTGCTTCTTCACCACAAAGTGTCTTGGTAGCAGACTGGCAAAAAAATGAGGGTTTGAGCAACCACTCATCAGTCTTCAGAAATCCATCTTACATTTCAGTAGAAGCATCAGAGAACTTCTCCTTAAGTAGGGGCTTTAGTGTTGTTTAGTATAGTTCAGAGGTTAGCAGGGAAAACATCCCCACACACTTCACCTCCAAATCATGATCATGCAACAACCCTTTGGCTATGCTGACAAGTACGTATGTGAACAAGAAAAGTCGGGAAAGTAATTTACGCAGTCGTAGCCATCAGTTAGTGCAGTTTTACAGCTGGAAATGAGAGGAAGGAGGCAGTATCATGAGCAGAGACAGACCACCTGTAAGCACTCCAGAGGCCTGAATTTTGAATCCTGTTCCTACAGCTATTTTCAAGAACACTTGAAACAAAAACAGCAGCTCACAAATAGATCCTTTAGGCTGAGAGCCCACTTTCCAAGCAAAAACTGCAGTACCAGTTAAGACCAAGCACTTCCAGAGCAAGTGACCCGCAGCGTGAGCAAACGCATCCTTCCGCTCCCTGGGGAGGAGGCATCCACCCAGCATCTGCAGGTGAGGTCATGCACATACCTTGGAAATGAGCTCATCGTGGTTGGCAAGATGAGCCCTGCAGTGAATGCAGCTATAGGTCCTGTGGCACGAAGGCAGATATGCCTGGAAAGTCTTGGACCTTGTCATCTTCACCATTGGAGCCACTGAGCGCTGTGTGAACTCTGGGGTGGCCCAGGAGGCACTCCCGCAGGACGGGTCGCACGGGAAACACCGGAAGACACAGGTAAAGGCCGTGGTTTGGCAGGTGATGGGTGTGGGGCAGGCTCCACACGCTGGTGACCGCTTCAGAGGAAGAGATTTGGGCAGAGGGAATGGGGGACTTCACACAGACCTGCGTGCAAAAAGAGAACAGAGACGGAACACTCAGCTCACAAAGGCGGCAATGATCTCACCCGCAGGACGATCTAGGATTAGACTGAGAGCAGGGAAGAATAGGAGCAGCCAGGAGACAGCGTGATTGTCTGCGGATTAGATAAAGGCAGGCAGACTTTTATTCACAGCTCAGCCACTGACTTGCTGACTGTCCTCACATCTTCCTGCCTCTGTTATCTACCATCTTCCTATCACTCCAATGCTCACAACCTCTATTCATTCTTTCAATACTGAATGGATTTGGAAATGACTACAAAGGCACAAAGATGCCAAGAAGATGATTTTCATCAAGCCTAGTCCCCCAGACAACTCTGGGGAACTGCACATCTCAAGGTCTCACTCTGCACCACCCCTTGGAGAAGATGGGCTCTGTTAGCTAGCTAGATGGAAAGTCAGGATCCTGCCAGCTGCTGTCCTGTCAACTCTCTAATGCGACACCCCAGAAGCCCACGAAAAGCTGGAGCTGGACATGGGTTTCCTCAGCCACCAGGAAAAGTACATAAGTCACCAAACCAGTTCTTCTCTCCATTCTGCCCTAGTTTCCACATGGGAAATGAAGGAATACTTCATTACACTCTCCTCTGTAACTCCCTGCAAGTTCTGAATGTAGAAGCTACTCTATAAGAACTGCACTCCAGTTTTGCTCTTTACTCAGAATACTTGACAGCAGTCAAAGCAAGGAGAAGCCTTTGATGACTGTTCTTGATAGCAAGAGACAGTGAAAAATCCTATTCAGGATGGAAACACCTATTTCACAATCTGACATCATCTCACAGAGCCTGCAAGGCAGTTCAAGTCTGGGTCTCTTTGGCAGAAATTAGTTTTCAGATCCCACATCTATAAGCCTTACCAGCTACAAATGTTCCTTTTGAGGACAGCAGCAGCATAAAGGATAAAGGCGGCAGCTCTCCTCCCTCCCCAACCCATGGCGTGTATGCATGCTCTAGAAATTAATCATGAACTCTGGCTGCTCCTCCCATGAGGATCTTCTCTTCCATAAAACCCTGCTCAGTCCCTCAGTCTGCACTTTGTGTATCAAATACTTGAATACTACCAACACTCCCCCCCGCCCCCCCATTAAGAAAACCAAGACATAAAACCTCCACACCTGACCTGCAATGGAAATTCCTGAACTGAACAAAACAGCAAAGTACAAGAGCTTAACAGCTGGTCTCTATGGTGGGACGAGTACCATGCCTGAAGCACAGCTGATAATCTTCCAAGTTAGAATAAAGCCAGCCCAGCTCACTGTGCTGCTAAAACAGCCCCCTTGCATTTGTGTGCTAAGCAGGTTCTGCTGCTGCCCAGTAGGATGCACCCTCCTAGGAAAAGCATCAGCCACACACCTGGCTCAAGATACACTGCAGAGAAGGGCTGGACTGGAACTACCCTAAGCAAATACACCTCTCTGCCTTGCTAAAAAGGAAGCTGTCAAAGCAGCTCAACAGAAATCAGAAAGGCAATCAGGCAACTGAAGGCAGGGCCCAGGAAAATTCTTGTAGAATTCATAAGCATCCCATTTAGGCAATCTCATGACTAGTGCTAGCACTAGTTACAAGTATAGAGCCGTGACAGAACTGTCCAAGTCATACTTGAAAACAACAGAATTCAGACGGTGAATCCACTACTGCTCTTTGCTGGAAAGCCTCATGTGTGACCACCATGAGACAGTGAGATCTGCAAAAAACCCTCATCACTTACATACCAAAGTGCCATTTATAGAACCCTGTCTTCAACACTTCTGCTCCTAAGTTGTCTTGTCATTGTTGAAAAGGAAGATTCAAGGTATCCAAGTTGCTTCAGTGCTTCTGAAAGCATCACCCACTGAACCTGCTGCCAGCTGGACAACCCTCGAAAGCCAGGCTGCCATCTGCAAGCTTTCTAGTAACCAGTTCCTACCAGCACTATACTGGAGGGTTGTCATCGGCCCACACAGGCATCATTTGAAGCAGTCAGCTTCACTGTATCATGACCATGCACAGTGCTCAACAGGAGGCAGACGCCAGTAAAACAACAGGACATCCATTTTTCCCTTTCTCTGAAATATTTTTCTTCTGCTTTCCAGAAGGCAGCTCCCTTACAGTCAAATGGGAAAAAGAGTCTTACTCATCCAGCCAACTGCTGATAAAGCATATTTATCATGATCAAAATAGTCAGCTCTTACACAGTGCTTTTCATCCTTAAAGCTCTTCGCAAACACTAACTAATCAGATTAACCTTTTCCAATTCCAGTTACAGTGAGAGCTTTGGAAGACCCATCCTGATGCAGAAGGGCTCACTTCCCAGCTGGTAAGGAACTAAACCTCCTCTTGCTCAGTCAAAAGAGGTCTTTCCTGCAATTTATCTGGTAAACCCATAGCTATGCATTCTGCCTGCGCATTGAGAGGTACATAACTGCACCTCTGGATTTCAACATGCCTTTCTTTAATCAGAGAAGTAAGAGAAACAGCTTTCACCTCTACCCTGCCCCAGTTCTCCACGTGCACCATGATTTTGTCAAATATGATTTAGTTTTGTGTGAGACAGGAATGAGGAGAGGAGCACTTTAAGGACTGAAGCCTTGTTTGCAACTGGGCAGAAGCAAGATGCAAACCACAGCAGCATCCTTCCTTATTTTCTGCTGACTAGATATGAGTAAAAGCAACGCATCCCAGCCTTCCTGAACTAACCAAGTGCTAACCTTCAGAGTCACAAGACAACAGAACCATCCCCCAACTTCAAGCCCCCGATTCAGCAGCATGCACTGTATCCCAGCTGTAACAGATCTCAGAACCTGAAATTTGAGAGACATGTGCCTTGTCCTCCAAGTGCACAGAAGCAAGAGACTAAGTGTGCCCTTTCAGCAGCTAAACACAACTGGATTCCAAGGCAAAGAACCAAGCCCTGTCTCAAAGAAACAGATTACATTGGACAGACCATCTGGAGGAAAGAAAGGACTGGCAATCACTTTACCCAATTTCTGTTTAAACAGACTCTTTAACCCTTATATTTCATTGATTTGTAATGGTGCAATCTCCTCCCTCTCTTCCTCAGCACAGATAGGTAAATACACCAACCACGTTTTACCATTTCTCTCCTATGCTGTTATGCCAAACCATTTCTCTTCTGATCAGCTGCCTAATAACCACAGCACAACAGCTGGAGAAAGCAGTCCACAGGCACACTCAAAGCCAAATTATACTCAACAAATTACACCCAACCAGAACAATATAACAGCAATCCCTTCATTTGTTGTTTGCTGACCCCTCTGTCCAGGCCTCCTAAGCATCAGTGCTCTAGAAGGACGAGTAAACAGGAAATCCTATCACCGCATTTATCTAATGGAGAAACAAACGCACACACAAATTATCTGCTGCACGCAGCTTTCTGCAAAAGCACTTCATGAGCATCCATTTATTTAACCTTGTAACACATTTAATGTCAGCAAAAAAATCTGACCTTTCAGAAGTGGACAAGAAAAACAGTCAAGTGGGACAATATCAGAGCACAGATTAAGATCCACTGCAACTCCTTTTCTCAGTCTTGTGCCGAGAAGAAAAACCAAATTGGTTAAGGCAAGGGAGAGAATAAAGATTTGTGAGCTAAGATCTTGGAAGAAACTGCTTTGGAGAAACCCTTCAGATAAGCTCATTTGGTGGCTGTATTTTATAAAGGCACTACCTTCGCACACCGTTAAGCCCAACAGTTGATCTGTGTGCTATCTACCAAGATCTCTGTCCTCATTTTAGCAAGGGAGAGGAGGGAAAACCAATGGGAAATGCATTCTTACATCCTATGAGCACAGCTAGAAGCTTGTAAGGACCCATTTCTGTCTCGAGTATCATCTCAAAATGTATTAAATGGGACCCATGACTCTTGGCAATGCAAAACCCAATCTCCTGCCCCTTTTTTTTTCTTCTGTCCCAGTGGCAAACACCTTTGAATTAAAATCTATGTAACAGCTAGCTGTGCATTCATTCTACTGCAGAACAAAGGCATGTGGATGATTTTGGGCTGTGCCCCTGGTTTTTCAGAACCAGTTACTGTTCATCAGCCTCACTGACAGTGGGCATTAAGTGGAATCATTCCATTCACTTAAAACCAGAAAAATGCTTTGATTACTTTCTCATCATGCTCAATACTATTAGAGATGAGTACCTGTCACCAACAACATAATCCAGTATTTTTCTTCCATCATTCTTCAAGAGAAATTTATCTCTGGGGTGGACACGCTCAAGTTGACGGAACAGAAACCTGTGTTTAGCTACGAATTAGCTCACAAGAAGCCAGAAAACTGGTTTAGACAAAAGGAAAAAAATCTAGGGAAAAGATCAACGTCATTTATTGGTGATCAACATCATGGTCATTGGTGAGAGAATCAGCTGAACGCATGCTTGCAAGGACCGTGTGTGTTAGGGCAGCCCTGCTTAATCCTGCTAAGTTTTAAGCAGATGCCAGCACCACGGAGGAAAAACCACGCACACATTTTGCTGTTCAGACAATTTTTTGGTTCAGTATCAACCTCCACCTGTCCAACAGCCACTTTTCACATGAAGCTGTTGGCAATTCAGGAAACAAAAAAGGAGAAATGCTAAGTCTGTGCCAAACACTTGCTAGACAAGGCTACTGCTTGTACAAGTCCATATGCCACAATGGCAGAGAACAAAACCGATCCCACACAAGTCCCATTTTGCATAAACCCCATGCGCAACGCAGCTCAGATGCAAATGTTCCCATTCACTCCGGCAGGGCAAACAACAGGTTTGTTGGGTCTGAGGGTTTGTTTTATGGATTATTTGATTTTTAAGATAAACTACAGTCCATTAAATACTTACTAGAACATTGCAAATGCTATAGAAAGCTGCCTACAGTAGCTCTGAAAAAAATCCATCTATTTGGAAACCCAACCTTTCTTCTTTGGCATCTCTTCTCATTAATATGGAAGAGCTGAGAGATATGCTGAGTGCAATGAAAGCACAA